CGTGTTATCTATGTTAAAAATTAACAAAATGTAATAGGAAGCTATAAAGACTCGCCTACTATTTTGATATAATAAATTATGTATGTTAATTTTATTGCTCTTTATTAATTTAAGTAAAGTAAATAAAAATAAATAAGGAAACGGTGTAAAAAAAGTAGGAATGTTGAGTTGAACGAAAATATATATTGTATATTATACATAATTTTATATAATAAATTATATATTATTATAAATATATATAATTATATTGAACAAAAGTAATATATATTTATGAGTTTAATTCTCCTATCGAGTTCGGTATGATTTCAGTGGTAGCACAGATTTAGAAATTACGTCTTCATAACACGAGGAATATAACAAAAATATGGAAAAATTTGTTACAAATAAGTTACAAATAAATCCTATTTGGTCTTCCAATTAAGTCTAGTCATCATTATTATCAGCCTACAGGCTCAATTTATAAATTGCCACTGCTGAGCAAAGGGCTTTTCTCACACGGAAAAGATTTTGAGCAATTATCACCACGCTTGCTCAAGGCGCATTAGTAATTATGAACTCATAATCAGAAATTATAAGTCCAGGTTTCCTAAAGATCGCAATGAGGCACCGCGACCTCGGCCGAGAGCAGGAGAAGGAACGGGGTTTTAGTCAGTAAGAGTCTGATTTTTTCTCACCGTTTGTCAACGGTGTCTTAATAAACTTAGAAAGTTCATGTACACATAGAACTTGGAAGATGTTACATATGTACTTATCAGATTTTTAACCCTCGAGAATGATAAACGCCTTTACTTTCAGGCCACCACATATATATGTAGAAGTTTAGTTCACTATCAATATAATTTTTTGTTCCTTGTTACACAACACTGGCTATTAAACCAGATTATATTACGCGTTGAGACTGGTTAAATTTAATTCAAATAATTTACAAGTCCATATGAATTGTTAGTCGCATAAGTAAGCTTTATTAGGAGCTGTCTAAAACGAAAACAGGATAAACGGGTTCCGTAGCGGAACTTTGAGCTATGAAAGGCAATACCGCATTTCGACCCATTGACTTGGGTGGAAGTATAAATTGACGCGGTGTGTAGTGAACTGAGCCAAGTTTGTTTGCACAGCAAATAATGGATAATAGATTATAGATTTGTTTTTGTTTATTGTGACATAAATACATAGTGGAAGGAATATTTACATTTTCTTCCTTAATAATCGCGATGGTTCCGTAGGCGGAACCTGGCACGTATTAATGAGACTTTTTACAAGTTACATATATGTAATTTCTATATTACTTAGATATCACTAAGATACGGCGATAGAAAACGTTGTGAGGAAACCTAAACTTATAATTTCTGATTTATAAGGTTGCAATATTCTCCGTGTGAGAAGACGCCTTGTGGGCGCTTTTAGGCTAATGACGTAATGTGATGATATTTTTTTTCCATTCTGATTATTTTTTGCACACTATAGATGGCTTTTATTTAATTACTGAGCAACTTTATAAAAACCGTGTCACTAGAACTTGTTAAGTACGCGACAATTAAAGACTTAACATACCGACTGTACATTTCTGACACAAAAAATTAACGTAAGTACTATGTCTGCAGTTCTATACTCGAAGGACATGTTAACCCTCTTCGTATGATAAAATCATATCGAATCGTACGCATATTAGTAAGATTGCAACATTCGCCTTTTTTAAAGACAATTCTGTGTCGATATAAATGCGAAAGTAATTCTGTCTGTCCGTCTTTTGTTCACGCCTAAACTACTAAAGTGATTCCTGTGAAATTTTGTACAGACATAGTGTGGAGCTCGAGAAAAAACATAGGATAGTTTTTAATCCAAAAATCTGCAGGAAGTCACTATTCTACGCGAACGGAGTCGCGGGCAAAAGCTAGTACCTTAATAAAGTTTTTGTGTCAGAGCTAACACTTTTGTTTTGAGGGGGTAATCTTATCCTGGCTAGAATGAGCGCCAGACTCTGACTGATTAAAAACCACCCAGTTCTTTCTTCTGCTCCAGGCAGGTACTGCGAACGAAGTCGCGGGCAAAAGGTAGTTATTTATAATGGAATGGTGTGCCAAAACTATGGGTTACAAGAGTCATAGTTTTTGTATTCGGACATATGAGGCTGAAATTGACATAGGCTTCATTCACTATGCAATACTACCGACAGAAATGAAGTATAATATAAAACGAAGTATATAAATAAAATAGAACATACTTCATTAATTTTATAGAGAGGTATAACAAGCTAGCGACAAAATAATAAAGAACCAAGGAGGTTCATTATTCAATTCGGATTGAAATAAAGACTTCATGCTAGAACTGTGTCAAAAATAGACCAAGAACAATAAGATGACTTTGAATAGGCTTCATTAGGCACACATGCTTACAAAGTGCATTTTCGAGTGAAGCGAATTGATATACTAGTTTTGCCTTGCAGAATGTTTTTAACATTTCAATTTAAGATTCAACAACAATCAACTACATTGTCTATAGAAGTTGGCCTCTATCTCTGAAACCTTTTTATTTAAATCAAAACTAATTTTTACTCGTTACAGAGCGTATTTCATCATCATCAGCTTATAAGTGCCCACTGCTATGCAAAGGCCTCTTCCCACACGGAGAAGGTTTGAGCATTAATCACAATGCTTGCTCAAGGCATATTGGCGATTACAAATTCATAATCAGAAAATATAAGCCCAGGTTTCCACACGATGTTTTTCAGGTCTGTGGTGTCTATATGAACTTAGGAAGTACATCTGAGTCGGAAAAAGTCACACTGATACTGGCTAGGTTCCGAACCCAGCTAGCAAGAAGAAGCCTTCTTGCTAGCTGGCGCCTTAACCTTTGGGCCACCACGACGAGTACAGGGAGTATATAGTAACTTTGAATCGAACTAAAGATTTTTCGAACTGAAGGCTCAATCCTCCCCCTCCGTTAACACCTAAAAGGCCACCAACTAACTTGTAACTCTTCTTAGTAGTGGGTTTCTTTGGGCAACACCGATTACTGATCACCAAGAAAATAAAAACGAAATATGACAGAGGTATGTTACTTTATTTATTTTCGTACCTAACTTATCGAAGAATGAATGGAATGGACCGACAACATTTCTATAACTAAGCAAACTCCACATATATTTTTACAACAAGGTATTAAAGAATTGAACTTATTTACTATGTGCCGCAATTGGTGTCTCAACCTTGTAACTGTTGTAATTGAATCATATGACACATACACTGATTGGTTATAGAACTCAGCACGATAAGAATAACATACTTAGAAATCTGTTATAACATTTAATTGCAATTTTTTGTATAAAGCCCATACTTGAATTCAAACATGTTGACTCGTGTGATTGTGTACGATTTGTAATAAAATTGATACTTTAAAAATAGGTTTAAATACCTATTTAAACCGCCTTTTTGTTTTAGTGGGGTTTAAGGATGGAAAATCGACAAATTCTTATTGACTGAAACCGTTTTTTCTTCTACTCTGAGCCAGAAAGGGATACAACATTGCGTTTTCACCTGCAATTTGGGTCTGCATGAATATTGAGTAGCTTTTTCTCAGGTGCGTTCAGCGTTGTTAGGGAGGGTTGTGGGATTCGCCCCACCTAGGGTACCCGAATACGGTGTCGGAACCACGGCCTTAAGCAGGAAAATGACCGAATTTTTAGTTAGAGTCTGACACTCCCTCTCACCCCATATATGCGAGTAAGTTCAGTTGATGATTTCGCTCACCAAAAAAGGTATTTGTTATAAAACCAAAACAATATTTCAAGATACCAAGGCAGTCACAACAGATTCACCAAAAACAAGAATACATTTCTTGTAATTTAACGAAAATACTTTTTCTTATGATTAGTTTCTACGTGATAATTATTTCTGTTTTGCGTCCAATTATGGAATTGTTCACTGTTTAGTATTGTTTCGTCATAACAGGTTAATTTGGAATTCTCTTCTCAGAAATTGAGAACAAATCAGTCTGTCTGTCCTCCATTGTATAAATAGATAGTTATTATATTAATGGCAAACATAGTCATTTTATATTGAGATTGATCTTTATGGACCTAACACACAACATTACTTAAGAATTATATATTAAGACCTACTAACATACGCCTCCGGCGTATAAACCATATCATATACTGAATATTAGGGCCATTTATTAACGCACTAAGTAGGTTTCAAGTTAACAGATAGCGATTATGTACGTTGCACTGGTTTTCTAGCAACAGGTGCGAATGTTGTAAATAAATAATTAATGCAGTCTTATCTTAGAATAAAGTTGTAGGTATTAGACCTTCTGACATGTGTAGGTACCTTATTCTGTAGTATACAAGCTCACTATCAATGCAAATGTAATTGATTTTAAATTGAAAATTGCACTGAATTAGCTGTAAAAGGAAATAAGTGTCAAACACTTTAAATATTTATTATGATAGCAAGTAATCGGTTTTATCCATGGACAGACACGCAACGCTTGATGAGTTTCAAGCGCGTTGCGGTCCTTTTGGGGATTAATACAAACCTTAATCCTCACTGATCATGATGATGGATGCCTTAATTTGTATCTATAAGTGTTAATAATTCTTTGTTTGTAAAAATTTATGCAAAATTCTATGTAAATAAATACTTTTCAATCATATACTTAAAGTTTCTAAACGGATTTCAGTTTCGAAAACATGCCGTTACTTTGTGTATTGTGAGAAAGTCTGTAGGCGTTATGTTTGTGTTAAACTATGTATGTACTTAAGTTCCCTTTTTGAAGAATTCTAAAAGACATTATATTTGAAGTTGTGTTAAGAAAACAGAATTCAAAAACATTTGAGTCTTTCTTATCATTAACAAACTGTCGACTTTCAAACAGTGAGGTGATAATACTTATGTAAGGTTCAGTCTAATAGATGGCATGTATTCTCTTTCAAGTCTTACACCTCACTTAGTATATTACGACCATGCATTCGTTGTAAAAAATAAAATGCAAAATATGTATAAATTCGTATATCAACAAAATATATAATCGATATAACTAGGAAGCATTATATTACAATCTGAGCAAGTCACTAGGCAATGATATCACCAAATTCGTTTATAGGTAGTATGGAGCTGATAGGTATCTGGCGAAGTAGGGTGAAGCTGGGGCGACGAGAGGAGCGGCAGGGGCGGCCACGTAGGGGGCAGCGGCGGGGGCAGCGACGTAGGGGGCAGCGGCGACATAGGGAGCTGTGACGACTGGAGCAGCCACGGCGTGGTTCACGGCATGAGCCGAGTAAGAGCTGGCGTAAGGAGCCACAACCGCAGCAGAAGCAACTGGTGCTACTGGCGCGACCAACGCAGCCGGGGCGATAGCTCCAGCGTGCACAGCGGCCAAGGCGAGGGCGAATACAACCTGCACAAACAATCCACTAAGTTATACCACAATCCTAGTGTTACCGCAAAGGTGACTTGAATTCAAAATGAATAATTGAATGCAATTGTGATTCGACTTTCTATCGATAAAGTCAAGTATAATTCAATTCACATTCTGAGGATTTCTGCAAATATTTCAACTTCTATGGTTGAATGCTGTTTTTGGAGATTGTGACCTATTTTCTTGAAATTTAACATGGTAAACCACGTGACTCGCTGATATTTACGAGTATAAAAGCATCATGGGTGGCAATGTGACTGAAGGTATATTCGGCATATATTGATGTGAATTAATTACTCTTACATTATACCCAACAAACTTGAAAGATTTCACCTGTTTGGCACAGATTGTATAAATAATCACTTTACTGGGAAACGGATCTGATGCTTTTCAACGCACTTAATATAAGAACTAAAAGAAATCTCTAAGGAAACACTCACAACGAATTTGGCGATCATTTTGCTTGGGTGGTGTGACTGCTCACAAGTGATTACACTGAAAAATCCGATGGACTGTGCCGTCTCCAGGGCATCGTCACGTTTTATACCACTGCTGATTCCGTTGAGCAATACTGTGGACGAACAACGCATGTGTGGCTAAATAATGCGTAGGACATCGTTGTTGGCTCGCGGTTGATTTTTGACCCAGACTCGCTCGACGGTCCGAGCATTCTAATTTGAACTCTGTGTACACCAATTTCACTGTTCGTTATATAACTGTCAAAAGGGAAATTCAATTGAAACAATAAGTGCACAATGTTGTTTTTACATAAAGTTGCTCGTAAGTCGAAATCTATTTTGTTATCTGGTGCTAAACATAGATCAGGGAGGCTTAGAGAGATCTAGATCCTAAGATTGTGTAGCATTGTACAGTCCTTTCATAAGATGGCGTGGTTTGCAATATTTTTGCGATTACTTTCTTTGGGTGAAAATAAAATAAATGCACCGTTCCAATTATTTAGATTAAAAAAACCCAATAATTTCCTCATTCATTTGAACATTTACAACTATGGATCATGTTGTAATCGTCAACTATGACTAGCGTACTAATTACAAACCCATGTGTGTGATGGTAACTTGAGGTAAGTTGCACACTTTAATGTCAACGCAATGACTGACTCATCAATTGGCGTCTTCTAATAAATAAAACCGTTAGTAAGTATTTCACTTATAACAAAGATATGATATAGCATAAACTGAGATGGACCCCTTGCTACATTATGTATATATTTTTTTGTGTTATGTTTATTTTTGTGCGTTTTCTATTTATGTATGTGTAGTTAAATAAATGGTTTATATAAATGCAACTTTTTTATATGTTTAGTATGTATTTTGGATAGCGTTTGGAGTTTAATTGTCGTACCATTTGCATTCAATCAACACGGATTGTTGGTCCACATTCGTACACGTCTTGCTGCAGAAATTGCACGCGAAGAAAAAAGTTTCACAACGGAATGTTTCCCAATGTGCTCCATTTCTCCGCGCACGCCTCCGCGAATCCCAATTGACCGGCCGCAATACGTCAAATGTTTATTTTGTCGGACGATATCTGAATCACAATATACAAGGTATAAAAAGCCGTTACTTTTTCTTGATTGTCACACTTCACATCCTTTTTTCGACAAGGAAGGTCCACTACAAAATCACGCAAGATGTTCTCTTTCAAATCTGTAAGTATAGTAACAATTTTTTTCCTCATATTAGTAAGTATTCGCTACAGATTCTAATAAATTTTCCGTTTCAGATCGTACTGATCGCTGCGGCTTTCACCATCGGAGCGGAAAGCAGTGGTGTTGCGGTACCAGCGGTGCCGGCGGCACCTCTGGTTGCCCCGGCGGCAGTGGGGTATGCCCACGCTGTACCTCAGAACATTCCACCTTATGCTGCGCAGGTCAGCGTAGTTAGCAAGTCACTCGCTGCTCCCCTTGTCGCCGCGCCCTTCGCTGCCGCTGGTCCTTACGTTGCTGGTCCTTACGGCGCCGCACCTCTAGCTGCAGCACCTTACGCCGCAGCTCCTTATGCTGCTGCTGCTTATGCTGCGGCTCCTTACGCCGCCGGTCCCTACTTTGCTGGTCCTGGACCAGTGGTTCCAGCACCATTAGCTGGACCTGCACCATACGCTGCCCCCTTCCCATACGCTGCAGCTCCTTTGGTGCGAGCCAGTCCATTCGGCTACGCCCCAGCGTACGTGCGATAGATTAGAAAAGAATACTTGACTGACCTTCCTTCTCATAAGACTTGTATCAAAGATTAGAATATTTTTTATACGTTTTTGTACAATAAACTTTATATAAAATGTATTTTGTATTTTATCTTATCTTTAGAAATAGTGGTGATGTATTAAATTAATTAGCTACTGTGCATAATCTATTCACGTTACTATCCGAGGAGATTCGTTTAAATCACGAAAACATGGCTTGAACTAAGGTAAAATTTGTGCACCTTAATTTTTTGGACTGATGAGTTTCCTTATTACAGTAATTCTTATATATTTTGAAGTCTGTAAAATACTCAAGGCTATTTTTTGATTCTTAAACATCTAGATAGCCATTATAATTTGGATAAATACTTTTTGTGACAAAGTTTTATATTGTTAGTAAGTAAAAATATTTTTTGGAGATGTCCAGCGGAAGGAATATTACGTTCACAGTTCGATTATTTATCATTATTTTAATTTAGGTACCACCTTAACAATATACATCTGCAACATTTTAGGGATCATTGTCCTAACGGCGATGGTGGAACGGCTCGATCAAAGAAGTAGCTCATGTTATATCGATGAATTAAATCGGGACTACCCTCTTCAAGCGTTAGACAAAGCTCCTGTCAACGTGATAAAATAATCTTCGTAAAGTAGTTTCAAGATGACCCTCAGTTTGATCGGTTATTGAACTCTATTTATATGGATCGGACAGACCTACTGAACAGCAGAAAAGATCAGTCACTGTTTTTTACTAGGTAAGATTTTTTTTATACACACTGTCACTTACACCTGTAATTATAGTTATAAGAACTGTTTAGAGAACTTTGTAAAAAAAATATTTAACTACATTCTTAGACATCAGCCAGTGTTGCAAGTGCAAGTAAAATACTGCACCATGGCCCTGGCCACGAGAAGGAGAAGGAGTGGGGTGGTTTTTAGCCACTCGAAGGGAGCGAAGTCACTAGATTTTCCAACTTAAAATAAATTACAACTTAACACCGCTTGACTCAACAATGTATTGTAATAAGTATAACGGTGAAAAAGTTAAGGGAAGTTTATTATCATGTAGTTGTTCAATACTTTTTACTAGAAATTAGAAGAAGAAGAAAATTAAGTTTCTGTCATGTTTTGGTTGATGGCACTTGGTTACTCGACCGCTTACTGTACATTTTATACAATAAATATACAAGTGCCTCGTGCCTATAAAAACCTTTATATAATGAGGCTATAGAGAGAAAATGCAATTAATACTAATTATTTCATTTCTTCAGTCTTGCTGTTTATTTCTTGTTTCTTTTACGTAAACTAAGCGATGTTGATTTAAACTCAAGCAATCCGATGCAAATAGTTCTTCACAAATATGCACAGACAAGAAATTCATTTAGTATTGCGTGCGGAAATACTGAGGTTGTTTTTTATTTTACATATTATGGAGGAATATCTAGTGGCAAATTAAAGTTTAATTTATATTTCCATAATTTATTTACAAAATTTGGTATCAAAAACCTATAACTAAATTAACTAGATAACAATGACACTATAACACTTAAATAAGACTAGATTCATTTCCACGCAAACTGTTTGAGGATGGGCGCAGGGCCGTAGGGTACGGGGCCGTAAGGAGATACGCCGATAGGTGCTCTAGCTACGGGAACGGGAGCGGGGGCGTAAGCTGGCGCGAACAATGGGGCAGGTTGGGGTACAGCCACAGGCCTTACAATAGGTGAGAATGGAGCTGTAGGTAACGCAGGTACGGCACGAGCAAAGACCGGCGCTGAAGGAAAAGCTGGAGCAATTCTAGGGTATACTGGCGCTGGGAATACCGGTGCGGGCGCTGGATATACCGGTGCGGGCGCTGGGAATACCGGAGCTGGTGCTGCGAATACTGGAGCCGGAGGTGGCGCTGGGAACACTGGGGCAGGTGCTGCGAATACTGGAGCTGGCGCTGGTAGAACTGGAGCAGGCGCTGCGAATACTGGAGCAGGTGCTGGGAAAGCTGGAGCAGGCGCTGGGAACACAGGTGCAGGGGCAGCAAACACTGGTGCTCGCGCCACTACAGGAGGAGCCACTGCAACCGGGGCTGCCACTGCATGTATTGATCTCGCTCCGTTCGGGAAGTTGTAGAATGGAGCGTACCGCACCACGGATAATGACTTGAAGAGAGGAGCTATGTGTCCGACGCCGCTAGCATTACAGCTAGCTATGAGGGCGAGAGCAGAAATGACCTGGAAAGGAAATTAACAACAATTAATAAATTAAACAAACTTATTGCCGAAAACTGAAGATATTGCAATGTATCAACACTTACTAATCTTACGAAAGACATTTTAATTTGATAATAGAACTCGGTCAGTCGAGTGTCAACGATGAAATGTATCGATGAATGTGTTACATGTCGTTATATAGTTCATACTGTTGCAAGCATTACGTCTATGTTGGTAGCAGTCGGTTTCACTTTCCTTAGGCAGGACTCGCGCATGCTCAATTAGGTGACGAATGGACACCATCGGTTACCGAATATGTCGAGGCTATCGCCTTTGGTAGGAATATTATATAATTGCAACTATTTGATAGACGCTTAAGTGCCCTTTCGGGCCAAAAGTTGGGGTTATTTTAATAGCACGTGTCCTTGTGGTGTTAAAATTGCAAAATATTTAATTAGGTCCTAAATTTGTATATAATTTTTTATGGTGTTTTTTACTTGGAATAGGAGCAACGGACGAATAAACGAACTTCAGGAATTTAAGAGTGGTAACTTAAGGCTCGGCTTGTCTTAAACAAAGTTGGCAAATACTTGTAGTAATCAAGTAATACACATGAACGACAGATAATGAATTCATAGTAATCATTAAGAAAGACAACAACCGCTTGGACATTATTTATGAACAAAACACGGCATGAAATAACTGTACATTTTATTGTAACGAGACGTATTTTGCATCTATATGAATAACAAATTTCCTTAAAGCACATTTGTACATTTATCGAAATCCTCAAATAAAATGAAAATTTGTATATATAGGTGGATTAAATAGTGTAGTATAATATATATTATAGTGTAGTACTTATGTATAATGATAAATGAAAGAAATTGATTAGAATTAGAAATAAGATATTCTGAATCTCAGGATTACTAGTAGTTGTACATATATTCAAGAAGGGCAATATTGAAACGTTGTTTTGTGTTTTTTTTTTAAATATAAAAAAGTAAAATAATAATTAATGTAATGTTCCATAAATTGGAGTAGGTTCACCATTTGGTTCCAGTATTCACTGCTGGACAAAAGCTTTATTCAAGTCCGGGAAATACGCTGATAATACGCTGTTTTTATACTTACTTCCAGGAACCTTGACTGTTTGACTCTTTAGGTTTCTAAGAAAATTTTACCCTCTTGAGTTGTACTAATTATGTCCATGATGTAGATGTTCATGGTCATAGCGAGAAAATTGTTTTTTTTAAAGACGACGGTATGTTTAGTCGGGATACTTATATATAATATAAAATATAATTAATAATATATATATTATATATATAATATAGTAATAGAAGTATAGATCAGTAGTAGGTGTATTATTCGTATATCATATAAAGTTTGGGCATTAAGCAGATTGACGATTTGAATCTTACGGTTAGTAATTATTTAGTAGGTAAAGTCCAGGTTTCCAGGGAGGGTCAATAAGTCCGTGACTTTTAAAATGAAACACAGTTTTTTTGATAAAATGTTATTTTATTTTTCAACGTAGTCTCCTTTGAGCTCTATATACTAAGCTCAACGTTTCTCCAATTTTTTTATCCCTTCCGAAAAGTATGATTTGTCGAGGTTTTCAAAATAGGTATTTGTTTGTAAGATGACTTCGTCGTTGGACGCAAATCTCTTTCCACCGAGCCATTTCTTTAAGTTTGGGAACAATTAGTAATCACACGGGGCTAGATCGGGAGAATAGGCAGATGAGGGAGCAATTCGTAGCCCAATTCATGGTTTTTTGCCATAGAAACTGCACATTTTTTTTTTATTATTATTTATTTAAAAATCTTACCTTATACTACCATTACAGATTTCTCCAATGCGATAGCTTAGGCCTATATCTAAATCTAAGTACTTATTTACTAATTTAAACCAACATAACACAATCAAAATTTCTTTTTGATTCATCATCATCATACAACACCTTAATTATGAACTAAACTTTAGGATTAAAAACATACAAAGGAAAAAAAATAATAAGAAAAAACATTACCTGTCTTCTTAAACTAAAAATGCACATACCCACCTATAACATAACTAACTTAATCAAAGAGTATGTACCTAATTACATAATCATTAAAAAACCTAACATTAATCTATAAAAGTAAATAATATAATACTGTCGACACTATAGTCACGAGATCAGCAGTGCAACTACTTACTAAATAACAATAATAAAAATAAAATAAAAAATAATATATCTTAATTAACATTTGAAAAACATAATATATACAACGTGACTTTTACGAATTCACCCACTTTGCAACACAATACATCAACCCTTTCATGAACTTTGTTCACTACATTTATGGCTCTAGTGAGAGGAGCCCTTGTCAGTAAGTTGGTTCTGTGTGCACCCGTGGTGCACCCGTGCATTGTCCTGATGGAAAATAATTTTTTTCTTGGCCAAGTGTGGTCGCTTTCCTTTTAATGCCTCATCGAATCGACCCAATAAGTTGCTGTAATATTCACCATTGATTGTTTTTCCTTTTTTAAGGTAGTCAATGTGGATAATACAGCGTGCATCTCAAAAAACAGTCGCCATGACTTTATTGGCTGAAAAACCCACCTTTGCCTTCTTTGGCGCCGATTCACCCCGAGAAACCTACTGTTTTGACTGCTGTTTGGTCTCTGGTGTAGTGTGGTGGATTCACGTTTCGTCCAAGGTTACGAAACTCGTTCATATTGAGATTGAACAACCCCAAAAATTCCTGCGAAATTGTCACACGCTTGCGTTTGTGGTCGATTGTGAGCAAACACGGCACCCATCTTGCGGAAAGCTTTCTCATACCCAAATGGTCGTTTAAAATTTAAACCACTGAGCCATGCGAGATGCCCATGGCTTCCACAATCTGTTTCACTTTTAATCGCCGATCGGCTAAAACCATATCGTGGATTTTTTCAACGGTTTCGGATGTGGAGACCTCAAATGGGCGTTCAGAACGTTCGGCATCTTCTGTGCTGGTACGGCCACATCGGAATTCAGTAAACCACTTTTTTACCATGGAAATGGATGGTGCAGAGTCCCCATAATATTTTTCAAGCTTAGCCTTGGTTTGCGTAATGGATTTTTTCCGCAAAAAATAAAGCTTAATGAACGCACGAAATTCACTTTTTTCCATTTTCTTCTCAATCAACGCGGTAGTCTGATATTTAGGCTGTAAAACACTAACTAAATGTCACAGCTTGTTGAATTTTCGTCAGGAGTCATCTGATAGATGACTGTTGACGGGAGCAGTGTTGCCATTTCAATTAAGAGGCGGAAAAATAAAAAAGTCACGGACTTATTGACCCGCCCTGGTACTATCGTCTATATTTTTTCTTTTTTTATGTAACAGATCGGCAAACAAGCTGACGGATTACCTGATGGTAAGCAATCAGCGCCGCCCATGGACACTCGCAACGGAGTAGTTACGAGTGCGTTGCCGACCTTTTAGGGATTAGGGATTTGGAAATTTAGGGATTAAGAGGGGAATAAGGGAAGGGGAAGGATTGGGCCTCCGGTAACCTCACTCACACGGTGAAACACAACGCTGTGGTTGTTTCACGCCGGTTTTCTGTGAGGCCGTGGTATCACTCCGGTCGAGCCGACCCATTCGTGCCGAAGCATGGCTCTCCCACACTCGATCGAGAAAACTCATAATTTCAAAGGAATCAATAAATATGTTTACTTAAACTAGTTTCAATTCGCCTTCAATTATGAAGGTTTTGTGCAATTAAGTATTTTTTTGATGCTATTGGAGCTAAAGAGAGCTTTTTTTAACTGTTTGAGAGCTATGTTTCGGCGTGAATGGGCCGGTTCGGCCGGAGTGACACACGGTCTTCAAAAACAGGGCGCAACACAACGAAGTATTGTTTCACGCTGATTTTCTCTGAGGTATAATCCGGTTGAGCCGAGGCTTGATTCTACCCTTCTTCATATTTTAAAACGGTGATGAAGGAAGTGACACGGATAGAATAGTTACTAACTAATCTAATTCAAAACTATTCAATTTACGATGAATTTTGTGTGAATAAGCATGTACTTTAAATAACATAATTATACAATCTTGAAACCAGAATAAGCTTAAAAAATTAAATACCTATATTAAGTTATTCGTAAAATTATTGAATGAAGTTGTTATGTAGTTAAAATAAATTGTTTTTGTCTAGTAATCTACACAATTACATCGGCTGTTTTAATTTTTTATTGATTTTGAAATATGACCTTTTTCACAACGATTCACGAGGTGAATTCAAAATAAATTAATAATTTTCAGAAAAGCACTACTATATTAAACAGTAAATCAGGTACCATAGGCCTGTCTTACAAATCCGATAAACCGACATTCATGCTGGGTTAAAAATTAAGGGCTGTCATCGCCATGGCCACTTTCCTGCTTCTAAGAACATTTCCAACAATGAATTCAATCAAAGGCGGATTCTCCGATTTTCATTATTTCGAGAATCAACGCCTTTGTAAGATATTGGTACTTTTTATTATTCCGTATTTTATCAACAAAAGTAAAGTATTTCATAGCTCCTTTCTAATACAATAAAAAGGTTCTAAGAATTATTTCTTATTGTACACCTTGTTGTTTAAATTTTCTTTCCTTAGAATCCTTTCATTTTGTAAACATGTTTTTCTTATAATTTATCAGTATAATGGGTGCAAGAATGAATATAATGAGGGTTTGCTCAAGCTGGGTGACTAAATTGGTGATGAGGTTTTACGCATAACTTTATAGTTTTAATGACTTTTTAGAATGTGGTATGTTATTTTGAAACAATGAATATATTTTTGTAAATAGGCCATAAAACAGCACTTTACACGTCAAATTAATGTTATTTTGGTATCAATATTATCTTTGATTTATTTAATTTATGACAGCTATACTGAACCTTGTCGTAGTAGTGGACCCAAGGTTAAAGCACACACTTCTTATGTATCGCAAAACGTAAGGACCAAAGTTACTTTTCCGATATGTACATACACACTATCTAAAATTATTAAGAAACGATGAAGGAAAACATCGGGAGGAAACCTAATGACTACTACTAATAAGTTTAAAATCATCAAAACCCGCCTTGAGTAAGCTTGGTAATCAATGCTCAAACCTTCTCCGTGTGAGAAGAGGTCTTTGCTTAGCTGTATGCACTTATAGACTGATAATAATGAATACTAGATTTAGATACCCTTAACAAAGAGCTATCTCGAAATTAAAAAAATAAATTTTTGCCTTGCGCTTTTTTGCTGATAGTGATGTGCAGCGAACATCACTATCATTTTCTACTGAGTCGTAGGTGCGTTTAAAAACATATAAATCACACCCAGGCCCGGAACAACAATTTGTGGATCGCACAAAGACTTATTCGACGCGGGAATCGACACGTTTCACAACAGCCCACAGCCTACCCAACGTGTCATCTGTGCAGTCAAGCCGAAGAATAGGGAAAATAACACAAAGAAGTTAGGGTTCAGATATTTAACTCTCTATGATATACTTAGTTCTATATGGTTTATTTAAACGATAAAAAGACTAAATGCATTAGAATTATTTATTTTCCCAAATGTTGAAAGTAACGTATGTGATGATATACATTACACTGCGTTATTATATGATTATTAAAAGATCAGAAACAAGAAATTGTAAAAGAGACTATACTCCTGGGGATTGTTGTAGACGACAAGCTGCAATGGGGGCCAAACATAGATCTCTTAACACTGCCACTGTAACGCTTTTGGTTTCAAACGTTGGGCGCCATTTTGACGCTTTGATTATAGTGGGTAGAAAAACCAACAAAATTGAAAGTAAAATAATTATAAATTTATTGGACGTAGCGTAGGTAGGGTAGTTAGATGTCGGTTGAGCCGGACGTGAGTTTCAATATCGAGCGTACGAAATTTAGTTCGCCGGTAGGAACACTACTATCCGGGATAAGTAGCCGGTTGAGTAGGAGTAGGTAAGTCGCTCGTAGGTCCGCAGTTACACAGCCGTCGATGCAGCAGGGTGTCGATGCGGCAGGGTAGACCGGTGACTTCTTTGTTGGCCGGTAGATTGGTCCCTGGTAGGCAGGTAGATGGACCATGGTATGCAGGTAGATGAACCTTCCGAGCGGACGGCGCTTGGCGTTCCGCGCGTGCCTCAAAGAGCCAATGGACTACCACAAACGGGGCCCATAGGTCTGATGTTCAGCCGGGATTGCGGGTTACGCGCAATGAGTCACCACAGCCTCGGCCCAGAGCAGGAGAAGGAACGGGGGGGTTTTTAATCAGTAAGAGTTTGACACTCTCTCTCGCCTTCCCTGGGCGGGAGAGGTCATTTGATGATTATCCCCTGACAAAAAAAAAGGTAGATGAACCTTGGCAGGCAGGTAGATGAAAGAACCCTGGTAGGCAGGTAGATGGAAGAACTGTGGAACTAATTGAAATAAATGATTTTGTCTTTTGACTTTCAAACAATACAAATGAAAGATCAATTATGTTAATATCAATTGTTGAATTAGTTCACGGATGAAGGACGTCCTCGATATTATGCGAGTGAACAGAATCACTATGTATGGATCGAATTGTAATTGCAAAGCGCGTCACTAGTCCATGTCATTTGTATTCAAACAAGTGCCCGACGACACACAGTAAGTACGGAGAAATGGTGTTGCGGACGGATAAACCTTAAACTACTTATTGTAATATCGATTATATTTTTTAAGTAATTAGGTTCTTTATTGACTGAGCAAATTTTTTTTCATATGCGAAAATGTTCCTATATGAAATGGATATTAAAATATATTTGCAGTGGTATATTGGGGTTTAACTTTTATAATTATTTGGTATAATTCAAGTCGTAACTCGAAACACGATCTGAATAAAACCGTTTAAAAAAAAAGACGAGAATTTAGTCCTCCTTTGATGTCTCTTAGGATACTATTAGGATAATAATTGTGAACGGTAACGGTAAGTAGCATTTAGGAAACTAATTAATTAAAATAAAAAAAATAAACATTTGAAGAAAATAAACATTATTTTATTCCTTTCTCCTTCTACCTAAATCTTATTAATATATTATTATGACACGCTCACTACTTGCAAGTACCTAAAAACAACATTAGGCACAGAACTAACTAAAACTCAAAGTGCGAGCTTTAAATTATTACACACAAAGGAAAACTAAGGAGGTCCCGTTTCCAAAGAGGCACGTGTTTCGCAAATGGCAAAGAATGAAGAAAAGTTAACGAAACACATTTCAATACACGTGACACTCGGCGAGATTGAGAACGAATCGCCATTGTTTTTCTTAAATTTGTTTTTATTGGACCGCAAGATAAAAAGTTCCATTCTCAACCCACGTTGTTGTTCTGACCTGATAAACGTTAAAGTTTCATAGCATTACGACTTTTATTCACACTGAGAGTAGTCCTGTTAATATCAGTTAAGTGTACCAAAAATCTCATATTTAGAAAAGCCATGCTTCGGTACGAATGGGCGGGCTCAACTGGAGTGATACTACGGCCTCTCGGATAATAGACGTGTGAAGTCCTAACCTTACTCTCCTTCATCTTTCATCCTCAATCGCCCCAATCCTCAAATTATTAAATTTTTTGTATTATATTATTTGTATGACATTAGTTTTAGAACTGAGATTTCGGACCTGAAATGACAGAAAATTTAAAAAAAAAATCTCCATAGCTGAGGGAGGTAGTGACTCCTTTTAGCCGAAAAATGCTTAAAGTACAACGTTGAACTGTCTCTAGCAGTGAACATTATTTTATCATATTAAAATATTATTTAAAATGACTTCACTATTTGGTAGTCTCTCGAGTACTCGCCCGTTTGAGACAGACACTTATCAACTCGCGGTTCGAAATTAATGCACAGAGCTAAAAATCTTTCCACCAAACCTAAATCCTACTTCGAAATGAAAGATTAAAGAAGCACTTTTTGTTTATAAAGAAAGTAGGTTGTGTACTTTTCTTCAATTTATGATAAGTATGTTACTTAGAAGCCCACACGTGCTTACTTTAACGAATTTTCTAACGTAGGTCTCTGAATATTTGTGTTTACCTACCGTTGTTTTAATTTGATGTTTAATCTGCACAGTTGACGCTGTGGCTGGGCAACCAGCTGCCGTGGAATGTGTTGCGGATTCAAGTCTCGCACGGAACAACCCCATTAATCGACAAATTGTTGTTCCAGTTCTGTGTAGGATTTAAATTGCACGTTTATAAACGCACCCACGTCACAGGAAAAAACCCTAATGTGGTGTAGTAAAGAATGCTGTTACTTTTAACATTTACCTCCCACTACAAAGTAAAATAATTACAAACTTATAGGGAAATTTACAATATAATATTATGAAAGGCTTTCTGATTTTCAAATATTACAATCTTTCGTTCGTGCCTTGGGGCAAATCCTTTTTTCTCTCCACGCAAGTAGGTATCAGGTAGTGGACGGAAGAGTGAAGATAAATAATTATTTACGTACCTATAAGTGTAGAAAAGTGAGTATTTTTAAAAGGCAGACTGCCATAAGCTTATCCTTAATATAGTAGAGATATAGGTATATTAATTTCGAAAATATAGACCGATTAATTTATAAATTTGCGGCCTAGTTTGTCTACAAAAACATGTACAATTTAATTCTAGTGAAATTCTTTTACTTCCAATTTAAGAAGACAAACAATAAAGTGCTCGTTTTATTGACAAACCATCTTGAATTACAAATCGTTACGGAAACACTTTAATATTACACTTGCACGATTAAAAGAACTTTTTTCTTCAACGTACGTTCGCAGAATCTGAATCACTAAGAAAGAATCACTTAGGTACTTATATGTGGGTGTCTAAGAAACTTAAGTACTGCGCAGTTGATTTCCTCTTCAATATTACAAAAGAAAACCTTCAAGAGACTTGGTCGTTTAGGTTACCACTCTATTCAATGCCTAAAATTATGATAATTTTCTTTCTACTCCATTGAAATCTTTTTAAGGAACTGAAATCAATATTGTGAAGACTTACAAACAAACATTTTTCCTCTGATTACGTACTTAGATAATATATGTTTATCAAAATATCGCTTTATACAGAAATAGGCCACAAATTTCCCCCTTTGTTTATGGCTTCTTTATGTAACTCGTACTGAGTTTTGTACATAGCCAATTTACTTCTGCCAAGGACTGTGGGAAAACTTCCTTGAAACTAAACACACGACTTTGATCACGCACAATAACATGCGCAACTAGCTGCTTGTATGGTTTGATGCTGACAAGATTCATGATTTATAAAATATTGTTGGCAGTGGAAATTGAAATAGCATTCGCTCGGAATGTATACCTTGTCCACTCATATTGTTCTTAAGCTTCAGTGTTTATACCACGGTATAGGATGCGGCCTACTTACACAATATTACCTATTAAACAGGAAAGCAAAAAGGTTTTAACACACACACCAATCTTAAAAGAAAGACACAAATATGTAATAGATATGTATTCTTCAGTAAAAAAGTGGGCTAAGATTCAGTCATCAAATCAGTTTACTTAAGGGCTACGAAGGGAGCAGACGGGGCGAAGTAAGGAGCAGCGGCGTACCGGGCGAAAGCGGGGACGACTGGGGCAGGGGCAGCTACGTAGGGAGCAGCAACTGGAGCCACGACCCTAGCCGCTGGAGCGACGGCGTATGGGGCAGCAACGTAAGGAGCAGGAGCTGCCACTAATGGAGCAGGAGCAGCGACAACTGGGGCAGGAGCGGCGACTAAGGGAGCAGCGGCAGCGTACACTCCATTGTAGTTTCTGGCGACGTATTGAGAACTAGAGGCTGTGACGAATGGTGCTGGGGCAGCAACCACAGGCGCTGCAGCTACCAGAGGAGCCGCTACTGCGCTGGGCTTGGCGGCAGCCAGGGCCAGGGTGGCGAGGAAGAATACCTGGAATTAACATTATTTATTAATAATATATAAGTAATTGTCTCACGGTTTCTTTAGATAATGAATTAAATTCTTAATTGATTATTTTGCTAATACTCACAATCTTGTACATTTTGTAAGGTTTGGTTGTGTCTGTCTGTTGAACAGAGGATGTGAGTGTGATGTCCGAAGTTTGGTGACATTACCTTATATACTGTACCGAAGTAAGATTCACCTTGTGTTGTGTTTCGTCACCGATTGCAATGTCTCAATGGCTCGTTAGACGCTGGGCACGCAACGGGGACGAATCGTTACGACAGTAAAGCTGGACAGACTGATAAAATAATTGCACTAGAACAACAGTTTTGGGCATTACCTTGGAAATAAATATATTTTCAAAGGCGTGGTGATGAAGTTATTATTAAAATTGACATTATAACGGTTCGTGGAAACCTGATGTAGGTGGATCAAACAACATTGTTACGTAGTGACTTTATTTTACCTTCAACATCTAATTACATCCAAGAATTTAATGGCTTTATATCCTTTAATACATATATTTTAGCCTGTTTGTAGTCTTTTGATATTCAATCGTAAGCATTCTTGGTTAAAAGGAACTATGACACAGTTTACCAATATAATGAAATTAAAAATTCATATACGGAATCACGTGTGAGAAACTCGTAGCAAACTTGTTTGTGCTACGAAACATGATATTAACAAAAGGGACTACGCATCATCTCAGTGCTACGAGTTTTGCTACGAAGAAGATGGACCGTTATCTTCTCCATGACGCATGTAGACGATCTTCACGTCACGTCCGTGCAAACAAATTATATCGTCTTCGTCATAACATACGTTTACTTGTAGTTTCACGTCAACAACAATGTTATGATTATTGGTATTACATCTCTAGTCTGTCAGATACGTATATTGTTATATATGCGACCACAAATAAGCTTTCTTTTTGTATATTATTTACGTTTTGTGCTCATGTAATAATACAAGGGTACCGGTATTGTATTTTTAGACATCGAATTATTCAATTACAATTTATTGTTGACATTTAGTTATCTTTTCTTTTGTTTTGATGTTCTCAATAATGATAAGTTGTATAACAATCTTCGTTCGGAAACTTCGATGTTCATAATAAAGTATAGGTATATAAATTATATTTTTAACCGACTTCAAAAAAAGGAGGAGGTTCTCAATTCGATTGTATTTTTTTTTTTTTTTTTTTATTTTTTTTTTTTATGTTTGTTACCTCAGAACTCCGTCGTTTATGGACGGATTTGCAAAATTTTTTTTATGATTGAAAGGATATGCTTCCAGATTGGTCCCATTCTTTTCAAAATTGAGTTTTGATGATGGGATCCATGAGAAATCGAGGGAACTCCTCAAATATTATAGGCAACTATATAGTAATTTTAATATTTTCATAGAGCACTCAAGCATTTACAGTCAAAAAGTAATATTTGATGGGGTGGAACTGGTGAAGAAGATCAGAAATGGGTGATGAAACTTGACACTCGCATAGATATCACAATCAAGGTAGTTCAGCAACTATGAAAATGCACTGTAAACCAATGATCTTAAATAATTATGTTGGAAATGTTATCATCGAACTGATTTAATGATGATTATGGAGCTGGAAGGTAGGCACTGGAACTGCGTACCTAATTAATATATCCTAGCCGTGTTTGGGCTTGTTAGAATTGTTATAAGATGCACTTTGGCTGTAAGGTACTATTGAACTGATGTGGTGATGAAGCTGGAAGGTTGGCATGGGGCCTAGTATTGTGTAAGCTTATTAGAGCTGTCAAGAGCAATGGAAAGGGCTATGCTCATAGTTTCCGTGCATGTTCGAATCAGAAATGAAGAAATCCGCAGAAGAACCAGCGTCACCGACATAGCCCGAAGAAATGCCAAACTTAAGTGACAGTGGGCACGGCACATTGCTCGTAGAACAGATGGCCGATGGGGCCGAAAGGTTCTAGAGCGGGACCGCACACCTTTGGGGGCGGAGTTTGGCCTAGTATTGGCTATTTTGCATTAGTCCACGTGGACTGCGTTTACACATTAGTGGTGAAATGCGTCATTGTGTTCTTATCGTTTTCCTGGTAATAGGCTAAGAGAATTCATTGGCATTTTTAACAAAACAGTCGTTTTAAATGGGTTACAAAACAATAATTGCGTCGTACAAAACAATAATTGTGTTTCTTTTGTGTGCACATATGTAGATAATACTTACTTAAAAAAGGTTCATACATTGAATGACTCATAAATGTATATTTACAATAGCGATGGTCTTTTGTATTTTTACCAACTTGTCTATACATGAATGTTCTTAGTAATAACAAAATAGTATTCTTCATTTAATGGGTTACAATTGATACAAAACAATAATTGCATCGGTCTTTTTTCTATGTACGAATGTATTTAATCATAGATACTAAATTAGATTGCATTTGGTATCTTTGAACTTTATCTGTCTGTTGATGAAAATATCTAGTTTTTTGTTATTTGGCGAGAACTAATATGAATTTATGATAAGATTATTATTTTTTTTTAACTATAAGTCATAAGTATCTCATGCATCATATCATCTCTCCTCGAGATCAAAACGATTACACAGTAACAATGTACTATGATATGTATTTCTACGTATAAGTATGACATTGGTAACTTTTTCAAAAGAAATGTAGGAACGATATTGACTTCTTTGCCATAACACATTATAATAAAAAAAAACACTAAACGGCTACAAATAAAAAAAAAATTTACAAAATAAAAAAACCGCCTTCAAAAAAAGTCAAGCAATAAAAGTTCCTACACTAAAAAGTAAAAAATAACAATTTGAATTACTGTAAAAAAACTTAGTTTATAGGTAAACTTATTTGACATTAATATTTTGCAAATATTCAAAATTTATTACTTATTTTTGGAGTCGGTGCCAGCCCATGCAAGGAAATACAAATGGGCAACAATCCCTTGAAAAACTACCTCTTACTTAATTATAAAACTACTTAATACCTATTTGCATACTCAAATATAGGTATATTAATTAAGACATAAATACAGATTAGACTTCTCTACAAAAAATGTCCGATTTGCACATTTTTTTTAAATAAAAAATATATACTTACAAAAACATTTTAAGTACATTGAAAATGTTTAAGCATTATGTACGAAAAATGGCACCGGATATTAAAAAGCTAACTAACATTAAGTTTCAACATTAAAATGCTGGCACCGACTCCAAAAATAAGTAATAAATTTTGAATATTTGCAAAATATTAATGTCAAATAAGTTTACCTATAAACTAAGTTTTTTTACAGTAATTCAAATTGTTATTTTTTACTTTTTAGTGTAGGAACTTTTATTGCTTGACTTTTTTTGAAGGCGGTTTTTTTATTTTGTAAATTTTTTTTTCAATAAAAGACTCTGCCTTGTTTTAATTTCCAATTTCTCGTATAATTAGCGTACGCCTGTATACAATCTTAAAAAACTCTTAAAGCGCTCGAATTTTGAAAAGGGAATTTACTGCTCGTTTGCCACCTATTCCATAAAAAAAAACTTGGAGCAGATGGTGCTTCTTAATATTTGCCTATCCTACATGGAACAAATACTGTACAAAAACAATCATTTTATAAAACTAAACAAATGAAAGTGGCAAACTTACAAACACCAACATAAACTTTATATTTAATCCTCTTTACGCGAGGTTTCAATTAACTGTTGACTTAAACGGAGGATTAAATGACATAACTCTGTAATACATCTGTGTACATAATATTTTCTTGAATTAATTCAAAAGGTCACGCAATACAAACTTTTGTAATACCATTTCCCTTCCAAGATAGTTATTTCTTAAGTTCTGTTATATCCTGTGAACATTTTCCATGTTCCTATTTCCGTCTCAAAGCTCAAACGAGAATGTCATTGCTCTAGATAACAGGCAATTAGTATTTTTATTACATGGAATGTTCACATACTCGAATGTCCGATATATTATTGTTTGTTTTATTAATATGATTTTATTTTAGTCGCTTGGTAAATAGGCATTGTTAATTTGTAACACCTTTATAATTTTACTTCTTTGATACTGTTTTAGGTAAGTGTGGCAGAATATCGGCGTGGAACCATTCTTTCTTTCCCAATTCCCAAATCCCTAATCCTCAAATCCCACACCCGGTGGTAACAAACCTGTAAATCTTTTTTTGAGGGGGGGGGGGGGGGGGGGAATCATCAAATTATTTCTCTGTTTAGGGTGAGAGGGAGTGTGTCAGAAAGAGTGTGACTAAAAACCACCCCTTTCTTATTTGCGCTTGGCCGCAAATTGTAACTCATTTGGATCATAAAAAAATATCTGTAAGTTATGAGAAATCAAAATATCAGATTCACTATCGACAGAAGAGACACAATACACAGTATCCATAAGTCATTCGCAATCCATCGGATCGACATATTTATCTAGTTCAACACTTTTTGCGCATATGATGAATGAACCTCAATCGTAAAGGAATTTTCTTCTAGCCCACCTTGGGGTGATACAAAGACAGGTCATGGTAGGTGCAATAACTTCAAGATCAAAAGGATAGTATTTAATACACACCTTACCCCTTCAAGTCTGTTTTTTTTTCAATTTATCGAAAATGGATCAATTATTTTGCTTTAATAAACAATAGTTGAAATAATACGTTTATTTCCAAGTCAGAAAAATAAAAATGAAATCATGATTTGTTTTAAGTAAATGTAGTCATGATCAGAATTTGTGGAATAAATTTTATTCCAAACCTATCGTGAAATAAAATACTAATATAATGTAAGGCAGTGTCATATCAGATACGACTTACCAAATCCCGGTTTGATGTATTCGTCTTTGGGAAATTAGGTTCGAGTGTCGGTAACGCACGTTCGTCGCGTCTACTGAATACTAAGCGACACTTACATTCGGCTACGTTAAGTAAATAAATACACCGTATTTGATACATCTGTGCAATTGTATTTTATTTTCTTTTTTTTTCTAGGTACTAAAGTCAATAAACCTGCATGCAGCATGTGCAAGATCGCCATGGTTCATAGCGAGAGGAACTGGGAAGCTACCTCCTCCTTCCGCGAAGCAGTTATGCTCGCAAAGGAGGAGGCGGAGCGCGCGAGGGAACTATCCTCCTCGCGCCCCAGCCGCCGCAGAAGGCGACATTCCGGGCGTCGGGGATCGAGAAATGATCTCCGGCCACCGTAAGCGCGGGTCTGCGGACGGCGAGTAAGGGTAGCTCGCCGCCCGACCAGAACCAGACCCGAGCGCACGGCGTGTAGTGTTCCGCGCGGGCCTCAAAGAGCCAATAGATCACCACAGACGGGGCCCCATAGGGCTGATGTTCAGCCGGGGTTGCGGGGTAAGCGCAATGAGGCACCGCGACCTCGAGCAGGCTCTGGGCCGCTTCGGTCTGCTTCTCCTGAGAAGGAACAGCATGCAAGCACAAGTTTTAAATTATCCCCTCACAAAAAAAAAGCATGTGCAAGATCGAGTGCAAGGTACAGTTATTAACGGCCAATACATAACCCGGAAAGATAAAGGTTTGTTTTTACACAAGCGTTCATTTCTGATAATTTTAAATTTCTTGAGGATGTACCTTTGACTTACCGTGCTAGTCCATACATTGAACCCTACTAAACTAGTTGATACTCTGAGAAGGTGTAATGTATGGCCGGTCAATTCGGCTCATTCAAGTTGCAAACGGTAGCTACGTTCTTTCCCTAAGAAATAGAAATTAAATAAACGCATTTGGTTGTCCAAATCAGATCTCTACGGATTAGGTTAAGAATGTTTCACTCCCCTTCGCCCCTTCCTCCTTTCTCTTCTCGCCTCTTGGTCCTTTTTTGATGATTTCAAGGTCATGTCGAAGCGAAATTAGGAAAGAAGTTTGGGAAAATAATGATTTTATAAAATACTAAAAATCCTTGATATTCTGTAATGACAGGAAATGTAACTAACTAACCTAACCTTATGCAAAATATGCAGGTAGGTACCTACAATTGACACATTTGACATAATACCCATCTTATGTTGCGTGGTAGTGAATATATTTATGTTCACACAACATATTATCGTCAAGTATCTAAAGCACGTCGTCACTTAATGTACCGCACATTATGTAGCTCGTATTGCAAAGATATGTTAAACTTACATCGTAAAGGACAAGAGCTGTTAATCGATTGTCACGTATTGTGTACCTATAAATAGTCAATCTTCTAGACTTGTCTTCGATTGCTGAGTCATGTTGCGTTTGATTCGTTCATAGAATAAATTTATGAATGAATGTTCTCTTTTTTATATAGATGGTCCACTTTTTGATGACATGTTTATGAAAGTACCGAAATTATTAAATTTGAACGGCGCAGAGTTACGTCTTCCATTTACTGTATGTCCTAACATGTCCACACAAAACTTAATATTTCAAGTGCATCAATATGTCTCATAACATGATAATAAATTCATGGAAAACGCCTTGCTTGTCATGCAAATGTCACTTTCGTTACATTACTTTATAGGTCCAGTGTCATTGACAAAGCGTGCACGTCTCCCAAGTAACAGTTGTGCAACTAATAAATGTCTAGTTGGCCTAGATCGATTAGCGATGCAACGACATAGAAAATGGCCGTCAGTAATTAAAACAAACATATACAAAAGTATAAATATAAATCTATATTCTTTCACTCATAACCATAATTATTTACAAAGTGCAGTTTTATTAACAAGTGTACAAATTGACTAATTAATTATTATACTCTAGGTGGCTTGGTGTTGGGCCGAGGGAACGGGCTTGATGTAGCGACTTCGATGTCCCTAGCATTAGCACGCAAATTTTGGGAATGAATTTTCTTAATCTTTACCACTCGAACAGGCCGCTTCACTGTACTCACAGGTCTCACGATGATTTTGGCGCTTGTTGCCGGAACGTACGTATAGATGTGCTTTACAACTTTTACGTGTGCATGGGTTTGGTGCAGCGGTGGAGGACTGACATAAGCCAAAGGAACTTTAACAACTTCCACTGAAGTCTTCAATTTTTGCGGCCTGGCTTTATGATGTGGCCAGGGTTGTTGGGGTGCCTGGTACACTGGACGTTGGGGTTGATATTGTGCGTGAGGTTGCTGTGATTGCGGCAAAGGCTGAAACTGTGGCCGTGGCTGCTGCGGTTGGGGCAATGGTTGATATTGTGGGTGTGGCTGCTGTGGCGGGAACTGTCCCTGTGGTCTCTGTTGTGGTAACTGTCCTTGTGGTCTTTGTTGTGGAAACTGTGGTGGGAACTGTCCCTGCGGTCTCGGTTGTGGGAACTGTGGTTGTTGTGGCTGGAATTGAGGACGAGGTTGCTGCTGCGGATACTGTCCTTGATGTTGCTGTGGTTGGAACTGTGGCCTGGGTTGTTGCTGTGGAAATTGGCCTTGAGGTGGTTGTGGCTGGAACTGAGGACGAGGCTGCGCTTGGAATTGAGGACCCGGTTGATTTGGTTGGAACTGCTGATTAGGCGGAAACTGAGTGCTTTCTGGAGGTGAAGGTGGTCCATACTGATTAAAGTTCACGTCTTCATTAGAGGGCAGTGCTTGCTGCACAAAATTATCATCACTGCTCGATGGCAAGGGTGTAGTTTGTTCTGGCTCTGGTGTAGTAGTTGCCTCAGTTTGTGTTGTGGACTGAGGAGTCGTTGGTTCCTTGTTATTCTCATCAGGTACATTATTTGGCTGTTCTTGCGGGATAAATCCAAAGTTCGGTGGAAATCCGAACGGATAGGGTGGTAGCAGGATAGTAGCGACGGGTGCAGCAGCGTGAGAAGTTGCTACCGCTATTGCTACGTTGGGGTTGACTGGAGCTGGTTGGGTTGGTTGTGGGTTAACAGCAACAGGAACTTCTTGTGTAGGTTGCACAAATACTGTTGGTGCGGGTGCAACTGGAAACACTGGTTGTAGAGGTGGAGGTGGAGGAGGAGCTACAGGAGCAACATGAGCTACCGGAGCCACGGGAGCAACTACTTGAGGGACAACTAAACGATTGAAGGTTCTTTGGAAGTATTGTGAACTAGCAGCTGTGACTACTGGAACGGGTCCTACAGCAGCCACAGGTGCTAAATGTGCGAGTCCATCGCCATGCACCCCTGAGCTTCTCACCAATCCACATAACGACGATATAAGTAATACCTGTAACAACAAAAAGAAACATTGCTTGAACAAAAGTTAAATTGCAATATATTATTTTCATATTTTATCAAATTTATATAAATACCGTTCGGATCATTTTGAAGGCCCCCTTTCCTGGCCGCTTTTGATATTATAATGCGAGCGTTAGAATATTGGACCCCCTCTTTTATATAGGTGTAACAAATTTTGCATCGTGGTGAGGCAACGTGGTGGGTGTCGCGGAATACCTAATGGTACAATGGGTAAGGACACGGACCTTGATGGCTACAAAAATCGTATTGAAAACGTCTTGGGAATAATAACGATGGGCCATTGAGAAAGTACCGACGGACGACACAACACTCGTAATATCGTATTTGCCTATTTATCGCTACCACTAACCCAGTTAAGGTTGCTTAATTGACATATTTGTCAAACTAACAAACAGAAGTCGAAATAGCCAATTGGATATCTTAAAGCTCTAAGCTAATCTGTTACGGATTAGATACGGTTCTTGCGGGCGTTCGTATTGCTGAACGTTAGTATACTGAATGCTGAGAACCTATAGTCGGCTGATCGTTATTCGCCTTAAGAGGAAAATCTATCGAAACATTTTCTCACGTTTCATTGAAGGTATTTGTGCTGTGCTGTGTTTGTGTAAGCTCGAGACAACGTGTATATGTATTTAGTTTTTGGTTATGATTCTCTTTATTGTTATTAATATTTTTATTTTTATTTATTGTTATTATATTTTTATTAATATTTTTTGTTATTGATATTTTTTATATTACAATATTATAAAGTACTTGCCCAAGTCTAATTGCCAATGCCTAAATCTCACAGAGGGTGATCTAATTGTTATGCTCCTGGCACTAGTGACTTGGGAATTGAAACTGAAACACCTTAGTTGCTCTAACAACCACTCATCCGGCTGCCAAGTGGTAATACGATGTTTACATTTTTCTTTCGAAAAATTTGTTGACGAAATGTACTTACGGACATGCCTAATATGTTTTCCTTTTAAAAGTTACTAAAATTGGAGCAACATTTGCGTACGGAGTTCAGAACAAAGTGGGAGCACGTGTTGTAAGTCGGTGGGTGTCAAGTACCTGAAATGCGTGACGGAAAAGTATAAAGGAGTTATATTTGTCACACTTGTATGAAAACAGGTTAAAATCAGGCCGTTGGGTAAAACGTCTCAGGTGTAGTTTACGAGGTCACTTTTAAGAAGTCATCTACGTAGGTGCTTAGTCAAAAATAGAGTAGGTACCTACTTAATTTTATTTTTCTACTTTTAAATTCACAATGAACCCTGTCCAATATATCAGGCCCACTAACTTATATAACTATATGTCGTGGTGGCCCGGAGGTTAAGGAGCCCGCTTCTCATGCACGAGGGTGTGGGTTCGAAACCTGGCAAGTACCAATGTGACTTTTTCCGAGTCATATGTACTTTCTATGATTATTTAGACACCACTGACATATGGTGAAGGTAAACATCGTGAGGAAACCTGGACTTATAATTTCTAATTATAAGTTTGAAATCGCCAACCCGCATTGAGCAAGCGTGGTGATTAATGCTCAAACCTTCTCCGTATGAGAAGAGGCCTTTGCTCAGCAGTGGGCACTTATAGGCTGATGATGTAACTTATATAACTAAGTTTTTTTTATTTATATCTATCAATTTAGTCGGTTGTAGGGAGCTCAGTGTATCTAGTCACTTAATGAAAATTATATAAAGCCAAATGATTTCGAAGTAATTGCCAAAAAGTCCTCATCGCACTTGCATCACAATTCGACGACGCGGTTGGCGCGATAGCTGGACAACTGGCTGCCGTGCAACGTATTGCGGGTTCGATTACCGCACGAAACAACTGTAGGATCCACAAATTGTTGTTCCAGGTCTGAGTGTGATATTATCTCCGGCCACCGAAGCGCGGGTCTGCGGACGGCGAATAAGGGTAGCTCGCCGCCCGACCAGAACCAGGCATAAGGCGCGTAGGATTCCGTGCGCGCCTCAAAGAGCCACTGACGGGGCCCCATAAGGCTGATATTCAGCCGGGGTTGCGGGTTAGGTTATGCGCTATGAGTCACCGCGGCCTCGGCCCAGAGCAGGAGAAGGAACGGGGTGGTTTTTAGTCAGTAAAAGTCTGACGCTCTCTCGCCTTACCCTGGGCGGGAGAAGTCATTTGATGATTTTCTCCGGACAAAAAAGGTCTGGGTGTGATGTGTATTTGAATTTGTATGTTTGTAAACGCATCCACGACACAGGAGAAAAACTTAATGACAATGGGCAACGTTTATTTAAAAAAAAATACAATTCATTACCTTTTATTTGGATATGCACGAAACATTTAACCAGTAATAATAATAATAATAATAATAAAATTTTATTTATCCACAGTTACATAAGTTTGCCTTAAAGTTTAGTTATAATTAGGTACAATTGTTTGTTGTAACTTAGTGTTGTTAGCGGACATTGCTTTTAAGAGCGGCGGTCCCCAAACTAGGCGAGGCCTGTATCTTGAGGTCCCGAGTTGCGGTTATCTAAAAACTTTAGTTAAAAGTCGGTCAGGTTGTGGACAGAAGTAGAAACTTAAAAAAATATTAAAAATAATCAATAAAATCAATAATCAAACTTAAACAAAAAATTTAAAAGGAACAACTTAATATGAAATAATTTAAAGCATCTTCTTAAAATTAAATTCGTCTCGTTGTATACAGTGAAAGGAAATTATAAAGGTACAAAAAGTAGTTAAAGTTAAATAATAATATGCTTAGTTTAAAGTTTACTTGAACTTAGCTTATCAGTCTCAAGTTGATGCTGATGATGATGAATGGTGTGTGTGTGTGTGTGTGTGTGTGTGTGTGTGTGTGTGTGTGTGTGTGTGTGTGTGTGTGTGTGTGTGTGTGTGTGTGTGTTTTGTGCGTGTTAGTGCGACCTTTCGATTGTAGATTGTGTTGTAAGAATATTTTCTGTCTCTTCGTATGAAAGTTCTTTTAACCATTTCTTTAATATCTTCTTACATGAGGAAAGTGGCAGCTCATTTGTGTCAAGAGGTAACCTGCGATGAACGTTGTTAAAGACAGTTGTGTGGAGGTAGGTAGGGGATCGTCTGGTTAAGAGGGAGGTTGTGCGTGGTATTGGGATTTTGAATATGCGTTTTGAGGTGAGTGCGTTGTAGTCTGGTCTTCTTTTCAGGGATTTGTGTGCGTGTAAGTATGCGTTAAGGATAAATAGTTGACGGACACGCAGAACTCCTAATTCTTTATATAGGGTATCTGTTGGATAGAGCCATGGCTTCTTAAGGAGTACTTTGATCACTGCCCTTTGGGATCTTTCAAGGTCTATGAGTGTGGTTTTTCCCGCTCCTCCCCAAGTAGATATGCCGTATTGAATAATGGACTGGCATATGGCGTAATATACCATGAGAAGTGTGTCTTTTGGTGTGCGGTCTCTGAGTTTTTTCATGATGTATATGAGTTTTCTGACTCGACCTGATAGATGTTTGATATGTACTTTATACGAGAGATTCTCGTCGATGAGGAGGCCTAAGTAGCGAATGGATTGGATTCGTTGTATACGCTCACAGGAACAGTTTTCTCTTGAAGTGTACGGAGAACATGTATGAAATTTAAGTGATAGATTGGGAGGTGGACTGGATGTTATGGTTTTAAAAAATGTGAGTAGCTTGGTTTTTTTTATGTTCAGTGTAAGCAGGTTGTTGTTTAGAGTTTGCGCAACTGTTGCTAGACCTTCCTCAGCCAAATTAAATAGTTGTTCCCAAGTTTTAGAATGGAAAATTATAACAGTGTCGTCAGCGTAAGATATTAACTCTGCGTTTGGAAGGTTTTGATTAAGGATGTCGTTAATATAGATTATGAACAGTGTGGGGCCTAGTAGACTACCTTGAGGTACTCCGAAGTTGATGGGGAGTTTATAGCTAGTGTAACCCTCAGATTTCACATATTGAGTACGGTTTGATAGGTAGCTATGAAACCATTCAAGCGGTTTGCCTCTTATACCGGACGAGTCTAGTTTTCTGAGGAGAAGGCCTGTTGAGATTGTGTCAAACGCTTTAGCTAGATCTAAGAAAACCGCCATGCATCTGTCCCCGTTTTCGACACAGTCTGATATTTTATTTGTTAGTAGTAGTGCAGCATCTTCAGTCGACTTCCCTTTTCTAAAGCCAAACTGTCTGTTTGAAATAAGGTGGTTCTTTTCTAGAAAATTTACTAAGCGTGTATTTACAACTTTTTCGAGGATTTTTGATAGTATACTAAGAAGTGCGATCGGCCTGTAGTTTTCAGGTTTATCAGTGGGTCCTCCTTTGTGGATAGGACTTACTGCAGCGACTTTCCATGGTTCAGGAAATACACCTGTTTCTAAGCTGAGGTTAATTATGTGTGTTAAGGGAGTTATAATGGAATTTTGTATTTTTTTCAAAAGTCTCACACCAATTCTGTCGGGTCCGGGGCTGCTGTCGTTTTTTAGGTGGCTGATAAAATAGGATATTTCTGTTTCGTCGGTGGGGTGAAGAAAGAAGGTGGTGGGTGAGGGTTTGTGTGGAGCGTACTTGCTAGTTAGGGATTCTTGTGTTTCAGATATTCTCGTGAGTATGGTATCGGCTAATTTTTTTCCTACGGTTGTAAAATAAGCGTTGTATTTGTTAAGAGAATCAGTGAGGTCTGTAGAGTTGAGTGCTACGCTAGACGTAGCATTCTTTTTGGCGCTGGGGTCGTAAATTGATTTTAGGACTTTCCACAGCATTTGCGGGTTTTTATTGTTTTCTTGTATTTGTCGGTTGTCATAGTCAGTTCTAATTTTTCTTAAAAGTTTATTACAGTAATTTCTATATCGAGTGTAAATAAGCTTTTTGAACGTATTTTCTGGATCAGACCTCAGAGATAGATGAAGATTGTCTCGGTGTTTAATACACCTTATGAGCCCTGGAGTTATCCAAGGTTGTAGATTAAATTTACTTCGCGGTATTTTGATTTTGTGTGTGTGTTTTTCTATTAAGTCTGTGATTGTTTTCGTGAGTAAAGTTGTTGCTGCGCTCGCGCAGTTTAGATTCATAATGTCTGACCAGTCATGTTCAGCTAGTTCCAAGGCTATGTTCTCTTCATTAGTTTTAATTTTCCAGG